TTTTGTAGTTTTAAAAATTATTTTCATTTTGAAAACTCTATGAACCCACCAACGGCAGCTGTAAAGTTGGGAGCAGTTCTGTTTATTTCCCAGGGATCATCTGCCCCCTGAACTGGCTGGTGGACTAGCAGCCACACCTCCCAATGGTTATTTGTTTAGACCAGGACTCTCAACCTCGGTGCTAGTGACACTGGGGGCTGCATAAGTCTTGGTCCTAGGGGGTGTCTTGTTCATTGTTAGATGTTTAGCAGCCCCGCACCAGCTACCCACTAGAGGCCAGCAGCAGTGACCCTCTCCAGTTGTAACAACCAAAATGTCCCTAAACACTTCCAAATGTCCCCAAAGGACAAAACTGGCCCCGGTGAAGAACCACTACTTTAGGCCCAACTTTATTTATTCCCATAAAAGAGGCTAACACCAAGTACCTTGCTGAGGGCAGGGCACTGTTTTAGATGCTGAGCAGTCAGCCGTGAACAAGTCCAGCCCCTGCTGACAAAGCTGATGGCCCGGCAGGCCACATAGTCACGACACGAATGATTAGGGCAGTTTACTGAACTCCATGCCCTCCCCGCCATTTATAACTCAGCTCCTGACTCTGTGGCTTTGTGTGTTGCAGGCGGTGATGGACGGAGGCTGGGCCCCCTGGGGACCCTGGGGAGAGTGCTCCCGGACCTGCGGAGGAGGGGTGCAGTTTTCACACCGCGAGTGCACGGACCCTGAGCCTCAGAACGGAGGAAGATACTGCTTGGGTCAGAGAACCAAGTACCAGTCATGCCACACAGAGGAATGTCCCCCTGATGGTAAGTGCCACTTATGGCCACATCTGCCAGAGCAGCTGTTCTTGCTGTCACCTAAGATCCCAGAAGAAGAGAGAGCAGGGTGCATCTCCTGATGCAGAGCTTTCCTGTGACCCAGATGTAAATGGGCTCTGCGAGGCACCAAGTTTTAGGGCAGCCCTTGGTGACCCAGGACAGCTCCCCTTGTGCTGGGGAACATGGCAAACCCAGGAGAGGAGTAGCCCTGGTTGTCCAAGATGTAGAGATAGAGGCTGTCACTCCCAACCAAACTTGTGTCGGGGGAGGAGGCTTGCAGAGGAGCTAGCATCTAGGATAATATTCCTCCTGGAGGCATCTGAACCCACGTCTGTGCGCAGAATGGAAGCAATTTCCAAAGCAAGTGTCAGAGCCAAACCTCCAACGTCTCCCCAGTCAACATCCAGCCCAGGGCGGACGGAGGATTTCTGAATCTGATCCTAGTGCACATTCTTTCAGAGAAGAGTTGCCCATGTTCCCTTGGGGCCATGGCAGCTGCCGGACGGAACCTTCCCAGGAAGCAGCACTGCTCTACCTCCCTTGGCATACTCCCACCCCTCGCACCAGCTAGAAAGCACACTCACTGCCTCAGAGGCAGCAATGGGCAGCAGTGAACTGGTGAGAGGGAGTCATTAAAGTTGTTCCCTGCCATCCCTCTCAGCTCCCCTCTGTGCAGCTCTGGGAAGTATTGGCAGGCAACAGAAGACAAGCAGAGCTTAAGAGAGCTCCATCCAAGTGCACAGGGTTAGTGGCTAATGGGGAAATCTGTAGCTTTTGCAGTTTTGCAAGATGGGAGAATCAGCAGTGGCAGGGGGCTCTGGAAACTTCACCCAGAATTGTGAGTTTGCCTGGCATACGGGTGAAGTGTTCCTTGGAATAGTGAGAGTTTGCCTGGCATACGGATGAAGCATTCTCTGGAGTTGTGAGAGTTTGCCAGGTAGACACGGACAGTAAGTGATACCATGATTTCAGATGCACCGGGATGTTCTTAGTGCCTCATGTGTGGCTAGACTGTAATAGATGTTATAAATGGCATAAAATATGCACAATATGGTCGTGGTCCTCAAGGGAGTGCAGTTTAGCTAGAGATCCAAACCCCCTTTACAAGGCAAGTAAAACTTAGTCTGTGAAGCAGAGACTACAGGCTCATGAGGAATCCAGAGCAAGGCCGAGCCCGGACCAGTCAGAAGCTTCAGGGAGGGAGATCTGAGCAGAGCCTGGGAACTGAGCTGGTGAGGAGGTGTGGGAGTACGGGCCTGGAGAGGAGGGGTCTCAGAGGGGCTCTGACCCACTCAGGTGGAGCCCGTGGAATGGACCAGCATATCAAGGGCAGATGACAAAGGTCCGTGAAAGATAAAATGGCATCTAGGATTCCTCAGTGCCAGCTGTTTTGCCAAGTCACCTGGAAAGGGTTTTCAAACACAGAGGCCCAGGCCCCTCAGGTGTACTGGTCAGAGTCCGAGGAGTGGGGCACAGTCATCTGAAAAGTCTCCACAGGCCCCTTGGATGTCCAGCTAAGCTGGAGGACCTCAGTAACAAGAGCAGGGTCAGTTTCAGGGTTGAGAAATAAAGTCTTGCTTTCCCTGGAAGATCAAGGGAACACGGTCTTCCCTGACCATGTCACCATATATTTGAAGGGGTCTTAAGAGAAAGCCAAAGGGAAGACAAATGGGTAAAAGGTGACAAAAGAGAGATGACAATTTAAATATTTTTTCTCCTTTCACTAGAATGTCATTTCTTCAGGTTGCCTGTTTCTCTTCGCCTAGTTATGACCAAGAGAGCCAGGGAAATATGAGGAGCTAGGGAACGGAAGATGGGACTTTAAAGCCTCTCAGGTAGGTTTCCAGTGGCTGGTGAGACATGCCACCCTGTGTGAAAAGACTGGCTGGGGCAGTGGCAAGCAGCTCGGGTCCAGAACTGTGAAGTGGGGATGGGTTTTGGTGTAGGGAGAGATCTGGGGACTCAGAATTCCCCAGATCCTGAGGGATCTTGTACCTCCAGCTGAACAGAAGGTAGAAGTTCAGAAAGGAAGGGGAGAGTCTTTCTCAGGAAAAACGAGCCCAGAGGCACCGCATAACAACTCTTCCTCTGAGCTGGAAGTTTCCACTAGAGCAGAGATTCTCAAAGCGCAGCCCCAAGTCACCTGGGAACTTGTTGGGAATGTAGACTCTCAGGTCCCCTTGGACCTGCTGAGTCAGAAACAAAGGGGCCCAGCAATCTGTGTTTTAAGAAGCTCTCTAGTGATCCTAATGCCCAAGAAAGTATGAGGATCATTTGTCTGGATTATGCAAATGAACAGCTGCCAAGATGAGGGATGAGCAGGATGCTGGGGGTGTCTGAGAGCCCAGGGGGAAAGCCTGAAAAGACTCGGGCGAGGTGCTTCTTCCCTGTGTGCTCAAGGTGCTGACCTACTTTCAGCCTTTGTCCTTGGGCTTTTGGTCCCTGCCCTTTCGAAAGAGAGACTGAATCAGACCAGACCACTACATTAGCACAAGATCACACTTTAGTTCAGAGACACATTTGCATAAATACTTGAAATGGATCCACCCCTGCAGGTGGAAGCCTGAGAACACGTGGCTCTCCACAGCCCTGCAGCCCTTTTGACAGTGGATTTTAATACTGAAGAGAGTCATGATCACGTTTAAAGCCAGCTTAGGGGCTTGCTTTGACATTCACCATTGACCCCCTGCCCCACACCTCTCTTGGACTAATTTTTTCCCCTCTGAGGTAGATTATTTATAGGGGAAACCAAATAGAAAACAATTTTTTTTTCCATTTAACTTTGCTAGTCTTTGGGCTAGTCCTTTGCTAGTCTGCTGTTTGGTTAAACAAGTGCACTTTTTACCTTTAACCTATGCCCTCTACTTGAACCCAAGCAAGGTCCCATTCACTAGAAAGTAGACATTATGATCAATTGGCCCATCCTCTCTTCCCCTCCCTGTGCTGGAGGGGCTGGTGCAATGTGAGGCCTGGGTAAGCCACACCACCTCCTCACAGAGGGTCACCACAGTGGGGACACTTGTCTGCACCCCAGCACCCCGAGTCCATGAGCACAAGACTTGGCCCTGCCCCGCTAGGTCACAGAGGGCACGGCTGGCTTCCACAGGGCTTGGCGTCCTCGGGTTTCAGAGCCTTGTTGCAGGTGGCGGAGGCCTGGCCGCTGGGGTCCCGGCAATCCACGGTCCGTCGCTGCCAGCCAGCTCCGCAGCTGCTGGAGCACTCAGACCAGTCCCCCAGCACCCACTGTGCGTTGAGCAGGGGCTGGATGACGTTGGTGGTTACTCTCTCTTTGCTGCTCTGGATGCTGAAGTTCACGTCATTAGGAACAAAGAAGGAATACTTGACTTTGGGGGGAAAGACCTCACCAGGGACTGTCAGGAGCTGCACGGTGAGCGGCTCAGGCAGGGGCCGGAAGCTCTGCAGCCGCTCCAGGGAGGCAATGGAGCCACTGTACTTGAGGATGGTCCCCTTCACCAGGATGTCCTGCTCTATGGCGGAGATGGCCAGGTTCCCGTTGAGCAGGTACTGCCCGTCAGCTGTCTTCAAGGCCAGGTAGTTGCCATCGTTTTGGACCCCCGGATGGCTCCGTTGTTTCACATCGATGTTCGTGGCACCAGCTGGGATGGTGACGATGTCATTGTAGCCATAACTAGGACAGGAACAGAAAGGTACCCTTAGGATCAGTGGCTTCTTAGCCCAGAGCCTAAGGAAGTGAATCTGTTGGTGTCTGGGGTTGGCAGACGAAAACCAGCAGCAAATAATTCTGCAGTTGCCTCGAAGTTCTAAATCAATTAGCTGCCGAGGCTGACAGGAGTGGTCTGTACACTGGCTTTTCATGGGCTTTTGCTCTGCTTGGCAACTCCATTTCAGATGTCGGGGCTGAGGAGTTTGGATGTGTGGGTCTTGACAATAGCCCGAGGAGGAAGGCAGCCCAGAGGGGTTTGAAAGCCGCACTGGGGCTGCCAAGCCTGGCAGCTCTTGGCTCAAATGAGACCTCAAACACATTTAGTTTTCTGCACTGGTATAAACTTTGCTTGGCCACTTTCATACCCAGAGCTCAAACCCATGTGGAAAAATATGGGTTTTTTTCCAGACATGCTCATTCCAGAATCTGGCTCCTCACCCCACCTCAGAGTCAGTCAGTTCTCAGTATTTGGTTAACATGGCTGTAGGGCAGGAACTAGGGCATAGGGGAGCCATCTTCTGCTGCACCCAGATACCGTGAGCTGTGCTTCTGGGTGGATGGGTGCTGTTCTGGGAAAATGCTTTGGCTTTATTATAGGGCTTTATGTGGCTGGAGGAAAGTTGGTTCCTATTTTCATGTTCTGGGGTGAAAGCATTCGGGTTATACAGGTTGGGAAGAAAGTGAAAGGGACTGAGGAGCACAGCAAGTCGGTTCTTCACTGTTTTTGCCTTATGCTCAGCTGGGGCCAGCTGCTTAGTTTAGGTCCATGTAAAAGTATCCATGGGCCAATTTGTCTATTGCCTAAGAGAGAGCCAGCTAGGAGACCCAGTATCTGAACATCCCACATCCCAGGCTTTTTTCTCTATCCTCTTATTTTAAATTTGAAAAGACCCCCAGGTTGTCTGCTGTGGGCTGATTCTGTTTTCCTGAGTCTGATGACATGTAAGACAGGGAGATACAGAGGAGTCCAGAGTGGCTGCATAACACCTGCCCTTGACTTCCTCTCCAGGAAGTGCCTAAAATGGCAGGAAGAAGATTGTTCCAGGAGTTAAGAAACCTGGGTTCTCCTTCTGGCTATTATTAATGGTCAGTGTGACTTTAGAAGAGTCAGGTAATCTTATGGAACCTTAGTTTCTTCATCTGTAAATGGGGAGTAATCGTGTTGGCCTTGCCAGCCTCAGAGACTGATTTTAGGAATCAAACAGGGCCACAGAGGTGAAAGCACTGAAACAAATAGTGGGAGCTTTATGAATGCGGGTTGTTAGGTTGTAAGAAAGTGTCTGGAGTGCTCAGACTTATGAAGACACTGAGGCCACTGAGGCCCCCTCCCTTACCCCTTTTCTAATGATTCAGCTGCAGGAAGGATAGGCTCACCTGGAGTGGGGTGAGATGCACTTCCCTAAACAGGCCTGGAAGAGCTGCTTTCTGGCAAAGGTCCCAGGTGCTCAGTGTAGCTCTACTGCCAGTGGACTCAGGGATGATCCATCCCTGGCCATGTGGCCTCTGGTTGCCCCGTGCAGGGTCCTCTCTATGAGCCAGACCCTGTACCAAGTCCTTTGCATGCCCCATCTCATGGCTCTTTACAATGACTCTGAGGTACGGAGGACTGCTGACATTTTATTGGGAAACTGAAGCTTAGTACTCCATGGGTATTAAGAAGCGGCTACAATCGAACTTACAGGGATGTGATTCTAAAGCCTGTTTTGCTTTTGACCTCGGTAATGAACTACTAGGAGGCTCACCTGGAGGGGCTGAGGGAACCAGAGACCTTCCTGCATGAGGTGCCTTTGCCCCCACACACCCCGCATTTGTCCAGCTTCCTAGGTGAGTCCACCACGTGGTCACAGCCAGCCTTGACACACTGGCCACGGACACAGATGGCCAGAGTCTCGGGCCCACAGAGGGTGCCGTCAATCACCTGCAACAGGGGAAGGGGAAGGAAGAGAGGGCATGGTGGGCACAGAGGCAGCCCATGGCTGGGGGACGGGGTGGGGTGGGGGTTGTTGGCAGGTGACCTTAGTCCTCATCTGTGTATCTCTGTTCCAGGAGGATTCTCACCTTGGCCTCAAACACTTTGAACTCACTCCTCCCCCGGGCTCGGCAGAACAGCTTGCAGCGGTCCCGGGGGGATACCCCTGAGTACTTGGGGACCCACTGCAGGAGGTTCCCATCCATGTCAGTGTAATTGTAGGAGTTATACTTCTCACACTGCTGCTCCCGGAAGCTTTTCCCTGGAAAGAATAAGAAAAGGCATGGAGTCAATGCCTTGTGCTAAAGCTGGTAGGACCTAGCGGGAGAAGTGCCTAGATTCAGGTACTATTCTTTCTCCTGGTTTTACCCTGAGCCCAGGACACAGGTCCAGCATCACCTGGGCCCAGCATTTCTAGGTACTCCCAATCTAGGTCCATGTGGGACCCTTACTCACAGGGGCAAGAAAAGGGGCATCCAGCCTCAGCCGGCTTTCTTGGTAAGTATCCTTTCCACTTGAGGAAGATGTAATATTACTTCTGTTTTACAGATAAATAAACTTAGGTGAAAACGGGACAGTTCAGTAAGTGTGGAAGGCACAGGCTGACACATGGAATTATATTTTTGGGCCTCTGCTCTCATGCTCTATCTCGACTTCCTCAGTGACATTGGACACATGGCTGTGGACTTTCAGATCTCCAGCTCCAGCTTTAGTCTCGCCTTATACCCTTAGTCTCGCCTTACACCCCACCTGCTGTGATTCTGGGTGTCTATAGGGGACCCCGTTTGTAGGTGCTGTGATTACCCCCAGCTCAGCACAGCCCAACTCCATATGGTTCCTCCATGAACTGGGTTGATTTTCATTCGGTGAAACTTGTATGTTCCTGTCTGAGACTGAACATTTGAGCATCTCCACCCTTCACTCCCAAGCTGTCATTAAATCCTACTATGTTCAGGACAACTGTAGTATTAAATGTCTCTATCTACTCTCACCACCTCAGTACCCCGCACAGGCCCAGGCCTCATGGCTTCACCTGGGACCTAGTGTCTACACACAGCTGCCTCCTTCCCATCGTGCTGCTTCCAGAACAATCGTCTGAAGCAAGACTTTATTTCTCAGTCCTGAAATTGACCCTGTTCTTGTTACTGAGGTCCTCCAGGCCTGTGGAGACTTTTCAGATGACTGTGCCCCGCTCCTCGGACTCTGACCAGTACACCTGAGGGGCCTGGGCCTCTGTGTTTGAAAACCCTTTCCAGGTGACTTGGCAAAACAGCTGGCACTGAGGAATTCTAGATGCCATTTTATCTTTCACGGACCTTTGTCATCTGCCCTTGATATGCTGGTCCATTCCACGGGCTCCACCTGAGTGGGTCAGAGCCCCTCTGAGACCCCTCCTCTCCCAGCCCATACTCCCACACCTCCTCACCAGCTCAGTTCCCAGGCTCTGCTCAGATCTCCCTCTCTGAAGCTTCTGACTGGTCCGGGCTCGGCCTTGCTCTGGATTCCTCATGAGCCTGTAGTCTCTGCTTCACAGACTAAGTTTTACTTGCCTTGTAAAGGGGGTTTGGATCTCTAGCTAAACTGCACTCCCTTGAGGACCACGACCATATTGTGCATATTTTATGCCATTTATAACATCTATTACAGTCTAGCCACACATGAGGCACTAAGAACATCCCGGTGCATCTGAAATCATGGTATCACTTACTGTCCGTGTCTACCTGGCAAACTCTCACAACTCCAGAGAATGCTTCATCCGTATGCCAGGCAAACTCTCACTATTCCAAGGAACACTTCACCCGTATGCCAGGCAAACTCACAATTCTGGGTGAAGTTTCCAGAGCCCCCTGCCACTGCTGATTCTCCCATCTTGCAAAACTGCAAAAGCTACAGATTTCCCCATTAGCCACTAACCCTGTGCACTTGGATGGAGCTCTCTTAAGCTCTGCTTGTCTTCTGTTGCCTGCCAATACTTCCCAGAGCTGCACAGAGGGGAGCTGAGAGGGATGGCAGGGAACAACTTTAATGACTCCCTCTCACCAGTTCACTGCTGCCCATTGCTGCCTCTGAGGCAGTGAGTGTGCTTTCTAGCTGGTGCGAGGGGTGGGAGTATGCCAAGGGAGGTAGAGCAGTGCTGCTTCCTGGGAAGGTTCCGTCCGGCAGCTGCCATGGCCCCAAGGGAACATGGGCAACTCTTCTCTGAAAGAATGTGCACTAGGATCAGATTCAGAAATCCTCCGTCCGCCCTGGGCTGGATGTTGACTGGGGAGACGTTGGAGGTTTGGCTCTGACACTTGCTTTGGAAATTGCTTCCATTCTGCGCACAGACGTGGGTTCAGATGCCTCCAGGAGGAATATTATCCTAGATGCTAGCTCCTCTGCAAGCCTCCTCCCCCGACACAAGTTTGGTTGGGAGTGACATCCTCTATCTCTACATCTTGGACAACCAGGGCTACTCCTCTCCTGGGTTTGCCATGTTCCCCAGCACAAGGGGAGCTGTCCTGGGTCACCAAGGGCTGCCCTAAAACTTGGTGCCTCGCAGAGCCCATTTACATCTGGGTCACAGGAAAGCTCTGCATCAGGAGATGCACCCTGCTCTCTCTTCTTCTGGGATCTTAGGTGACAGCAAGAACAGCTGCTCTGGCAGATGTGGCCATAAGTGGCACTTACCATCAGGGGGACATTCCTCTGTGTGGCATGACTGGTACTTGGTTCTCTGACCCAAGCAGTATCTTCCTCCGTTCTGAGGCTCAGGGTCCGTGCACTCGCGGTGTGAAAACTGCACCCCTCCTCCGCAGGTCCGGGAGCACTCTCCCCAGGGTCCCCAGGGGGCCCAGCCTCCGTCCATCACCGCCTGCAACACACAAAGCCACAGAGTCAGGAGCTGAGTTATAAATGGCGGGGAGGGCATGGAGTTCAGTAAACTGCCCTAATCATTCGTGTCGTGACTATGTGGCCTGCCGGGCCATCAGCTTTGTCAGCAGGGGCTGGACTTGTTCACGGCTGACTGCTCAGCATCTAAAACAGTGCCCTGCCCTCAGCAAGGTACTTGGTGTTAGCCTCTTTTATGGGAATAAATAAAGTTGGGCCTAAAGTAGTGGTTCTTCACCGGGGCCAGTTTTGTCCTTTGGGGACATTTGGAAGTGTTTAGGGACATTTTGGTTGTTACAACTGGAGAGGGTCACTGCTGCTGGCCTCTAGTGGGTAGCTGGTGCGGGGCTGCTAAACATCTAACAATGAACAAGACACCCCCTAGGACCAAGACTTATGCAGCCCCCAGTGTCACTAGCACCGAGGTTGAGAGTCCTGGTCTAAACAAATAACCATTGGGAGGTGTGGCTGCTAGTCCACCAGCCAGTTCAGGGGGCAGATGATCCCTGGGAAATAAACAGAACTGCTCCCAACTTTACAGCTGCCGTTGGTGGGTTCATAGAGTTTTCAAAATGAAAATAATTTTTAAAACTACAAAAGTAATATTTGCTCAAATAAAAAATGAAAAATACAGAAGAGTGTAAAAAAGAAAATAACACTTTAAAAAAAAGTGCTAAAAAAAAGTGGTTAGAGCATGGGCCTGCACACTGAAGGGTCATGGGTTCGATTCCCGGTCAAGGGCACATAGCTGGGTTACAGGTTCGATTCCTGGCTAGGTCCGGGCGCTTGCGGAAGGTATCCAATAGATGTGTCTCTCTCACATCGATGTCTCTCTCTGTCTCTCTCTCTCCTTCCCTCCCTCCCTTCCTCCCTTCTACTCTCTCTGGAAATCAATGGAAAAAATATCCCTGGGTGAAGATTTAAAAAAAAAGCATTGCTACCCAGATAAAACCACTGGCATAATTTTCATCCAAATCCCTTCATACTTTTGCTTTGAATATATAATCATAAAGAATGTGGTGTTTTTTATTTTATACAGATATGATTATATCTGTCATATATAGAGTATTAGATGATAAATAGCATTCCATGAGCTTCCCGTGCCAACCTCTCCTGGCACTGAGCTTGGCTCTGGTGCGGCGCAGGTTGCATGGGCCCCTCCCCTTCCCTGCCCTCAGTGGTGTGTGAAGCACGTGCTATAGGAGAGGGTGACCCCTGGACCAGAAGTTGTGTCTGAATGGGAGGGTGAGAGGCGGCTGTGAATCTTACCCTGGCCCAGGCTTAGAACCAGGGTGGGGCTCACCTGGCCCCGGCAGGCTCCTGAGACTCAGTGCAGAGGACACTTGTCACTGAGAACAGCCCTTGGGAGAGACTGCCCGAGCCACCCCGGTGATTCAGTGCTGGGCTGGGACCAGGCTGCTTAACTCCACGGATGCCATTCCACAGGGACGGCTCAGTGACTCGCAGTAAGAGAAATTCGATCAGCCCACAGTTTGGAAGTATTAAGAGCAGGGCAAAGAAGCGAATCATCTGAAGCTCTCAGCGGCATTGCCTTGGCTTTTCTTGCAGATTCGCTGTGTCCTGGGCCAAGTTTCCTCTGCCTGTCAGAGGCGTCTCATTTCTCCTCCCGCCTCCTCTCTGAGTGTGGAACCCCCACGATGGCTCTCATTCCCCGACTTCTACGAATTCAGCTCAGACGTGGGTAGGATAGGAACCCTTTCCCGTCATTCGACTGAATGTTCCTCCTCTGAGTCACTCTCATCTGTTGATAAAGAATTCGGAACAGCTTCCGTGGACTGAGTGCCCACGTGCCAGTCTCTGGGCTGGAGTGTTTCAAGCTTATCGCCACCTTCACAAGCCTCAGGTCAGCTCCAGAGAATTCCAGTGGGAGTTCCCTGAATGCCTGGGGCACCGGTGGCACCCTCCTTTCATTACGAGCTCACTTCAAAGGCTCCTCTTGTGTTTGGATAAATATGCTTTGCTTTGTTTGTAAAAAGAGTGATTTTACTCAGAAGCCCTAGTTGCCGCCTGGCCCAGAGTTCATGGCTCTCCAGTGTGGTTTCTCCTCAAAAACAGCTCTCCCTACACCACCCCTCACCCCACCTCTGTGTCCCCAAGTGCCATTCCTCACCTTGGGGCTCTCCACTTCCTCCACAGGAAGACAGCTGCCATCCCAGCAGAGGTGCCCAGGCCCGCAGGGCGTCCCGTCCGCCCAGGGCAGGCTGCCATTCTTCGTGTGGCAAAAGGGCTCTGGACCTTCCAGGTGGCACCAGAGCTGGGCGCAGATGTCCTGCGCGGAGGTGTTGGGGCAGTGGCGGAAGCCCAGCCCGAAGATCTGCCTGCACTGCTGGTCCAGCTGGTACAGGGCCCTCTGGCCCGGGAGGTCTGTTGGCAGGGGCAGGGCCGAGGTAGGGGTGTCGAGGAGACAGTCTCCTGAGAAATGGAGGAAACGGAGGAACACGAGTAAGGGGCCAGAGTTTCCTCTCGCAGCCCTCCCTGGCTCCTATATTACCCTTAAATCCCCACGGACAGGGTTTAATGTCCAGATGTCACGCTCTCCTTGACCTCAATCTGAAAACTCGACACCATCTAGATAGAACTTGTCCAATTTTTGACTATCAGTCGCAAAATTTACCTTCAAGATAGAATTTCTTTTGTGATCTAGAATATCTTTCACGATTCAGAGTTTACCTAGGGAATTCCCGCTGATTGTAATACTAATTTAAGTCGATATAATTGGGGGTGTAAATGAACTCTTCAAAACCATGTTATGCAAAATAAAGCCAAAGTACTGATGTTCGGACAATCCATTATTTTTGTATTATATTTGTCCCTGTCTCCTTGGAGCAGAGGAATCAAGAATAAACTGTGTTTTCACTGCTTTACCCCACAAGCCCAGCTGTCTTCACCAGGCGCACACTGCCAGCCCACGTCACCCCCCCTCCTTGTGCTCTTGGCTGTTTCTAACTATCCTACGATGTCCCACTCCAGCCGGACCCTCTTCCCTCCTCTGTGCTGCAAACATTCTTCTGTCCCTTCAAACTCTGTTCAAACCCACCTCCTGCAGACAAACCTCAGGCTAATTCCACCTGCTTTGGGACTAACAAGCTAGACTAGCCAGCCACTCAGGCTGCTGGAGAATGGGGCAAGGAAGAGCATGCTCTGTGGGGGTGGTGAGGCCGTGGCACAGGCCGTGGGGCAAGGGGCAGATCTCTGAAGCCTCTTCTAACCCTACATGGCTATGATGCTTCATGATGGAGCTCAGCCAGAAACAGCAGGTGCCACAGTGATCTAAGGAGCCGGCTGGGCAGAGCTCCACTGCCAGCAGCTGGCCAGGGATGCCTACCATGCCCACCGTCCAGGAGCTCCGTGAGGTACATGGCACTGCAGGGAGACCAGGGCAGCGTCTTGTTTAGGTGGACGAAGAGGGGTGCCATCATGTGGTGCTTGCCCATGGGCCCGAAGAGCCGTGCACAGGGCTTGGAGTCATCGTGGGGCATGCTGAGGACGTGCCCTGGGTACAGAGAGAGACCAAAGTCTACCCCAACAGCCTCCCCTGCTCTGCAGCCCTCCCCACCCTGCTCCAGGGCCCCCCACAGGGCCCAGGGCCCCTCCCTCCCCTTTATGGGGGAGAGAGAGAGGCAGAGAGAGAAAGAAGGAGGGGAAGAAAAAGAGGGAGGCAGGGAGGGAGCAGCATGTCCTCTCCTTATTTCTTAAAGATTTTTTCACTCTGGGCTTCTCCCGCCCAGGAAGCTTCTTCAGGGCACCGAGGAACCCCGCTAGCCCTGCATTTTCTGCCTCAGCCTGTCTCAGAGACATGCTCACCTCGGTTATTCGCTCGCCCTCTCTTCCCAGTTAATCTTCTCAGATTCCTACCGCTTAGCTTGGCTACGGCATGGCAACTTTAGCCCGGCCGTTTCACGTGTGGGCATTTTCCTGGCGATCTCTGGGGATGGGCCAGGACTCTCTTTTACTGTTTTGGCCTCGTGCTCAGGGTGGGAGCGGAGGAAGCACAGCATGTATTGGCACACAACCAGCCTGCCAGGACCATGAGGGGACCTGGCTGACCGTGAGGGCTGCGGTCCTGGGAAGCTGGGGGAGCCCGGGTCTGGAAGAGGCAGCTCTGAGGGCGCGGGGGAGGCGGGCAGGGCAGCTCTTACCCAGCTCATGGGCCAGAGTGTAGGCCGCCTGGAGCCCCTCGTCCTCGATCACAGAGCAGCTCTTGCTGGGGTCGCAGATCGTGCCAATGTCTGCCACGCCCAGGGTGTCGCACGTCCCCTCCTTCCCACAGAAGTTCTGCATGGGGAGAAAGTGAGAGTGTGGGAGCAGACACAGGAGAACATTTCCCTATTCCTGCTCCTCCTGCGCTGAAGGACGTTTTTCAAGCCGAAATCCCCATTTCTCCGCAAAGGACACTCATTTGAGGAGGACCTTTCTCCTGTGCTGGTGTGTGCTGGGCTGGCTGGGGCCTGGGCGGCTTGTGTGGGGAGGCAGGGCAGCACTGACCGGGGCTGGAGTGTGGGCGCTGCCACTCTGTGATACTCTGGGCCTCAGTGTCCTCGGCTGTAGAATGGGGAACTGTACAACAGTTCTTGCCTCGTGGGGTGTTGTGAGGACTGGGTGTAAACAGGGCTCTGCACACGTCTCTAGCTTTGAGGACGTTGCCCGTTTCAATCACACCAGACAGGGGGGCAGCCTCCTGATCTGGGGACTCTTGAGGGTAACTGCCTGGTTACCTGGCCCCATGTTTAACAACCCCCGCAGATGGACCGCCTCTCTCAATTCCCGCTCCAGATCGCTCACTGGACGGTGTGGCCCGCTTCCTCTGGCTATGACCTCAGCAGACAGCTGGTCACGACCGTTTGGAAAAGAGCCCTTATGAGATTCTTCTCCTTCCCTCGCAAATACCTCACACTTGTCCTCGTGACCTCCTCACTGCACACCCGGGGCTCCTGGCTCCAGCTGGGGCCAGCAGGGAGGCATTTCCTATGCTTGGGCAGGCCCAGTGGCCCTGCCTTTGATCGCTGGTCCCCCGCCCTCCCTCCGCGGGGTCTCGGGAGCCATCCCAGACCTGTCTGGTGAGCAGGATGGCCGTGTCGAAGTGCTCTGGGTGCCGGTCGCTGGGCTGGTTGAACTGCCGCTGCCAGTTGCAGAAGTTGCGCAGCGTGAGCCCACCGTTGTCGGACACCTCTGGGCCCCAGCTCTCATCTTCTACTATGAGCACCTTCACCACCACCAGGCTGATGGAGTTCCGGATGCTGGGGTGCTTGTAGATGCGGGCGGCCACGGACATCAGCGTCAGGATGTGGTTCTGTCGGGAAGGAGGGAACAGGAACAGTGAAGGGCTCGACCTCTCAACCCGTTGCCTGCCCACGGCCATCACCTCCTGTTACCCCGCCCTGTGGCCCGCTCTGTGCTGAGTGTCTGATAAATAGCATCTTGCTGACAACCCACACCTTCGAGACCCTTCATTTTACATGAAAGCAAGTTGTGTCTCAGTAGCTCTCCCAAGACCCCAAATCTAATGAGTGCACAGCAGCATCTGAACCCAGACTGCCTGGCTCCAAAGCGCGTGCATTTAATATCTTGACCAGATTGTTATGTGTATAGCTATGTAAATCAAAATTAATTAGAATTCAGTGAAATTAAAATGACAGTTCCCCTGTCACACTGGCCACATTTCAAGTGCGTCAGTTGCTGTCCATGGCTTGTGGCCACTGTGTTGGGCTGAGCAGACAGGACAGTCCATCATCACGGAGAGTTCTATTGGACAAATCTGGTTATTCTGCCTTGACCTTGACCCCAACCGGCTCCCTACCAGCCACCCCTTCCCTCTCCACTCTCAGCCTAGAAGCAATGATCTGAGTCCTCCAGGTGAGTAGAATTTCCCTCTTAGAGTCCAAGTGAGCATTTTCCTGGTGTCTTCTGGGGTAGCCTCTACTATTGAGGATGGAATGTTAACCCTGAAAACTTGGTTCTGATAGTCACTACGAACAATAGCCACTCTGCTCCTGGCACAGGGCCCACACTTCACCAATGTTACTTCATCACATGCTCACAACAACCCTATGAAGGAGGCACTGCAGTCCCTATTTCTGAGGCCACACAGCTCTCCAAGCCAGGATGCAGCCCAGGCGTGTCCACCTCCGGGGGCCACACTCTTCTTGTTAAGTTTCCCAGCGCTTGGCCTTCTGGGGTTTGCTTGGACAGCCCTAAAGAGTTTATTCCCTTCTGCCTGGGGCTTGAGAGAACCCAGTGGGCCTAATGAGACCCAGATGCTTAGGATCACACCTGCTTTCAGTCCCGCCCGGGCCAGCTGAAACAGTCTACGTCAGTGCTTGGCCTCTGTCCTGTCACTGCGCTGCCAGCTGCTCCCACAGCTTTGGAGGAGGCCAGCCTGGAGCTCGCTCTCCTGCCTCTAAAAGTAAGTTCTCTTGGGTTATTTTGCAGAAGAGGAGACAAAGGGGCAGAGGCACATGAGCGTGAGCATGGCCAGCTGAGCGGCCACTCGCTGGCCCTGCCCCCTGTTCTCTGGGGCACTGTCTCTGCAAGCCTCTCTTTTTTCCCCTCCAATGGTCTGGAAAGTGGGAGTGGAAGGAGGGTAAGGGAGCGTGAAAGGCTAGAGGGGGACATTCATTCTGTCGTTTGAGGCCATGTATGGGAGTTCCAGACGAACCCCATCATTTGTGAATGGGATCTGTCTGTTCACCTCGAAGGCAATAAGCCAGGTATTTTGTAAGCCCTACAAACTGGGGTTGGCAGGTTATTGAGGGTGTTAAGTACTCCAGCTATGTTTAGGCTGATGTCAACATCTTATCAGCAATGCTGAAACTTGGCTTGCTCTTGGAGTTGGATTCCTAAGGGGAAAAAGCAATCACATCATTATGCAACTGGGGGTGAGGGCTGAGGAATGGGAGCCTGCTGAGGCCGCTTCCTGTCCAGGTCTCCGCTGCTCCCAGGGGGCAGGAAGAGTCTCCTGGTCTCTTACTCTAGGAAGGGCCAGAGTCTGATGGGCCAGGGGCCAACTCCTGGGATTTCTTCCCAAGCAACCTGCAGCTCTCCTCATAACAACTTTGAGTTCTGATTTTGCAATCTCACAACTGGGGAGATGATGCCTTACAAAGAAGGTGTGAAGAGAAGAGATGCCAGCTGCTCAGCACTGGTCCCAGAAAAACATATACAGAACCAAAGACTCGCTGCACAAAGGATGGGGTGGGGCACTGGGATGCCTCCCAACACTGAGGTTTTCAGGGAGTCTCCCCTTTGCAGCTGAGGTAGCTCATAGCATCTACTCCAGACAATGAATAACTAACTGTTGGGCTGAGCTGGCTTGAGAGCAGTTTCCTTTAAGGCAGTGGGTTAGATGTGAGGATGTTTGAAGGTCCTCTGGCTGCTCTCTCAGAAGATAATCTCCATTGCAGGAGGGCTGCAATGTGGCCCAGCGTTTCTGTTAAAATCCCCAAACCTTGTCCCGCTTACCCCCCTTTTCTGTCTCACTGAGCTTTTGAAGATGGAAGGGTCACTATCCCCACCATCGGCCCCTCTGAGAAACAGTGGTAGAATGCCTGACACCTGCAAGGCCTGGTTTCCCAGGGGAAGGACCACTGGGCCATGGGGGGTAGTGGCCCTGAGTCGGTGAGCCTCTGTTTCTCAGCCAATTCCCTGGGCCAAAAGGGCAGACATGAGTTATAGTCCCACAGGGAGTGGGCTCAAGAGCCACGAAGGAGAGAGGCAGGTGGCTGGCTTCACCGCCTGCTGTCTATTTACACCTCCCTGCACACCAGTGCAGGCTGCTGGAGGAGGCAGGTGAGTGAGATCATGCCATGGAGGGTGGGGTCCCAACACAGCCGTCGACCTCCCACGAACACAACTGGTAGGCTGGACAGAGCCCATGGCCAGCCCAGCCAGCAGGTTAAACAGCCCTGCTTTTGAATGACTTGGGGATCTGCCTCGCTTCACTCTCTCAGGGAGTCTCCTTCTGCACTGGTGCCCCCAGGACCTGGAAAAGAGGAAACTTCCCCAGCCAGCTTGGAGAAGTGTTTTGATTCTTTGAGCTACAAACAAGGAGATCCCACCCCAGAGCTCTGGGTGCGGCCAAAGCGACCAGGGTGGGAGTCCGGGGGAGGTGGGGCCTGGGTCAGATGTATTTCTAGCAGCTTCTTCTGCTCACAGTGCCACCTGCTAGGCTTTGCTCATTTGCTCTTTGCACTGCGGGTCCTCCTGCTTTTCCTTGCAGCATGCCTGGGAGAGGCAAAGAGAGGAAGTGTGGAAATGTGGGAAACCCTCTGACCTCAGCAACCTGTGCCCCACTCTTCCTTTTGCCTTTTGGGCATCTCTCTAGAGCCTGAGACTGTGCAGAGGAAGAGATGGAAGAAGCAAAGGAAAAGGAAAGAATAGAAGAGAGAGCCCTATACTGTGTCTGTTTTTCTGAAGATGTGGCAGGCAGGTAGACAGACATGAGCAAAGCAGGGACCATGGGACAGGTACAAAAGGTCATCAGGGTGGAAAGCCCTGGGCGCCTAGCAAAGGACAATTGTTGGGTGGGACCTCATCCCCAGGTGACCTCTCCTCCCTGGAGATAACATGTAGGCCTGTTGTATTTCAGCTCCAGTTCCCAGAAAAGCAGCAAAACTAGACAAGCATCACAGCTGACCGCAGGACCAGCTGCACTGAATGACCCCTGCCCTGGCGCTGAACAATCAGTCAGTGGAGACCCCGACCCTGAAAGGACACCTGAAAAACTGATGAATATTCTATTGAGATCTTCCCCTGGGACTGCCCCTGAAAACTCCACCTTTAAAACCCTTAGGACTGAGGACCCAGCTCTGCTTTCCCACCCGGAGCAAGCTGGACCCTTTCCCCTCCCCCTCCCTACGCCCCCCAGGTGCATCACCTTGACCTTCCTCACTCTCAAGCTCCAAGGGCCCTTCCTTTGCCTCGATAACTTGTTTCCTAAGCCTACTTCTTCTACAAATTACTTTTTCTACCTTTGTGATTTTCCAAATAAATGTTCTCTTATAGTTTAAACCTTGGCTCCAATTTCTTTCCTAGCCAGAACCCAAGTACTGAGGTTGCTGAACCGAGGCCCGGTCTGACCCCACCGGTCTAACATCTGGTACCAGTTCTGCTGCCCCCAACAAAAACAGCAAGGGTGAGGCCACCTCGCCAAAGCACACGCTTATCAGAACCTCAAGATGTCAAGCGTAAAACTCTGAACCAAGCAAACTGAAAAGAACACCTCTCTGCCATGGGACCGCAGAGCTGACACAGCGGTGGCTATGATGGCATGTGACCGCACTGCCCTCCTACTCTGACAAATGCCATCACTGAAGGCAACTCTAGTATCAGTTATGCTTTGTCGAGCACCTACTGTGTGCAGGGCACCGGGCTGGGTGCTTTCCATATTTTATTGCACCCTCAACACAATGCCAGGACATTGTACACCTGTTCTTATTGTGCTGGTGAAAAGGAAGGTGCTGAGAAATTGACAGCTTGCTCGAGGACACTCAATTTTTTCTATTGCTCTTCAAAGCCTATCCTCTTGATCATGACACTGACTGCCACCCCTTTCGCTGCCTCAAGGAATATTACGGCCCAGCTGAAACACTGGAAGCCCGCAGGCAAGCTGGCCCTGACGCCGTCGATGTGCACCCCCACCCCCCAGCGCAGGGGCAGGCGGAAATGGCGAACCAAAGCCTTTGAACATTGAGGCATTTTCCTTAGGAAATACTTCATATCGTCGATCATTCTGACTGCAGCAGACCAAAGAGATGGAAAAGACTCATTCTTGTGCCAGGGAAGAGAACATAATTCACATTCACGCAACACTTGTCTTTCATCCAACGAAGACTTGGGTGGTGAGGGAGAGTGGGGCATGTATCTGCTTCTGTTATTTTCCAAAGCAGGACACTGCTGACAATTAGATGGCACTGAACTGGCACTCTGCTGGGCAAAGTAGGATACATGGTCACCGTAGCGTTAGGGCTTGTAGGTGACATTTCCCCCAGAGGATATGGTTAAGGAGGAGACGAAATGGCTGTGACTTAGCCCTTTCCTGAAGTCACTTGCTAGTAGCTTGACATCTTGGGAAACCTCTGGTCTTCTCTGGGGACACCGAGTGCCACTCCTAGGATCCTCTCTGCCGAGAATGAATTCAGAAGCTCAGCTCGCCGCTGTCCCCTGGCAGGACGATTTTCCAGACTGAGCATGGGGCTGCTCAGCCACACTCACTCCTCTCCTGCTCCAGTTTCCTCCAGAGCGAGTAGATGCAGACAGAGTTAATGGCCTCTTCTGAGGTGGTCCCCCCTTTCAGAAAGCCCCCTTTGTCTGGGCTCCTTCACTCTGAAACCAGATAAGAAGGTGGGAAGCAGGGGCCCCTCTGTGGAGGGATTAAGTGAAGTAAAGTGTAGGAAGCTCTGGAAAACTTCATTGTCACTCAGCGCGGAGACCAGCCCGGAGCATGGCTGGTTCTTGCTCTCGGCCTTTATGGGGGTTTCTTCTTGGTATCCGGCTTGGGGGGGCATCCCTGGACTGCTGGCTTCAAGGATCCATTCCCACAGTATGGACAAGTGTCAGGAGGCCACAGAGCCACAGTCGCATGCCCTCCCTGAGCTAAGGCAGCCTGGCACAAACAGCACTGCACTCGGGTTCAGGGACGTGGGTGGCAGCCCCAGCCCTGTGTGACCTGGAGAGTCACCTATGCTCTGCGGCAGGCACTTTATTCCTCTAACCCCTCACAGGTATTTCCACTGAGGTGACGGGTGGAAACCACTCAGCAAACTGAACACACTCAGAGGGGTGTCCCTGCACAGCGCTGAGCTTTCCAGAAGACTCGTCATGAAGCAGGCTCACAGGTGACCTAGTCCAGGTGTCTGTCTTCACAGATGAGGAAATCCAAGCCCTTGAGGGAGTAAAGTCTCTCCTTGCCCTCATAATGTCCTTCCTGGTCACTGACACCCCAGAGTGCCTCCATCTGTGTGATGAAGTCTCCAGGAGACTCCTTGGAGAGTCACTTATAAAGACCTGTTACTTATAAAGGGCCTGCCCAGACCCTTCTCTGTTTTGGGGAGAAGGGTCTGGGCAGGCAAGGTCTTGGGGAACCAGACTTGACATTCACTCTTGGCTGAGCTCACGGGCCCATTCTCAGCCCAGGGGATGGAGCTGAGAAGTTCAAGTTTATCCTGTGGCATCTCCACAGCTGGTGAGCACTCAGCTTTGAAGGGCCAGCGGGCAGTCACAGAAACAGCTGTGCCTCAGCCCGCCCCACCCCAGCAGGGGTACAGGTGGGCTGTGACATAGTGAGAGCAGGGAGAAGTGGCAGGACTGGTCCAGCTGAGAGAGGACTTCTCTCTGGGGTGTAAGACCTAGCAGTAGACACCCTAGGGAGAGGAACACAGCCTTCATAGGTACCTGAGGCCCATTCTGATGTGCTCTCCTGACCTGGTCTGGCTGGGAATGTAT